TGTGTGTGCGTGTTTGTGTTTGCGTGTGTGTGTGTGTGTGTGTCTGTGTGTTTGTGTCTGCGTGTGTGAATTTAAATTTGTGTGTGTGTGTGTGTGTATGTGTGTTTGTGCTGTGTGTGTTGTATATGTGTGGGTGTGTTTCTGTGTGTGTGTGCGCGTGTATGTTTGAGTGTGTTGGTGTGCGTGCGTGCACATTTGTGCGAGTGTGTGTGTGTTTATCTGTTTGTGTTTGTATGTCAGTTTCTGCGTGTACAGATGTGTACATGACTCTCTTGAAACACCTATAATCTTTCTCGAGTGTATCATTGTAACCTAATTGTGTCTCGAGTGCCGGAAAACTCTTACTAAAACTAACACTAAACACAAATCAACCACAACGGCACACAACCCGATGCTCACACAGGCATTCACACTGTCCTCACGTGCACTCACGCGCGTGAAATGACGTCAGTTCACGATCATGTCCTTATAATATGACTCTCCCCTCTCCCTCAGACACAAAGATCTACCTCAGAATGGGACCACATATTATTGTTATTATTAGAGGAAGGGAGATACGGAGGAAGGGAGGGGAGAGAGAGGGAGTGGAGTGGAGTTTGCTTGCTAACAGAGTAGAGGGGAGGAGGAGGAGAGGAGAGAGTGAGGAAGAGAGAGAGAGGGGGGACGGGAGGGAGGGAGAGAGAGAGATGAAGAGAGAGAGGAAGGGAGATACGGAGGAAGGGAGGGGAGAGAGAGGGAGTGGAGTGGAGTTTGCTTGCTAACAGAGTAGAGGGGAGGAGGGGGGAGATGAAAGGAGAGAGAAGGAGAGAGGAAGGGAGGAAGGGAGGAAGGGAGAAAGGAAGGCAGGGAAGTTAGCTTGCTAACAGAAGGGGGCGGGGAGGAGGGCTTTGGATGGTAGAGGAGAGAGGGAGGGAGTTAGGAGGGGAGAGAGGAAGGGAGGGAGGGAGGCAGGAGGGAGGAGGCAGGGAGAGAGAAAGTGTAGTGAAGTTTGCTTGCTAACCTAAGGGACGGGAAGGAGGGGTTGGGGGGAGGGGGAGGGAGACGGGGAGACGGGATGTGGGGGAGGGGGGTTGTAAGATAACCCCGAGTGCAGTGTGGTCGCCTCTCATGAGAAGAGAACCGGCGTCTGTGGTTTAGTGGTTAGGCCCTTCACTGTCGCACGTAGGACGCTCGAGTTCGATTCCCGGGTCCAAAGAAATTTATGTTTTTTCGAGTCTTTCAAAATTTCTTTTGGGAGGCGAGATAAAGACGATAGATGTTTGATAGGAAAGAAGGAGCAAACCTCACCAGAGCACCCGCCAACCACCTGCTTACTCGAGAGTAACATCCAAATAAAAGAAAGGGGCGATAATTATTGGTCCGATTGATATCACTAAGAATAACATGCACATGATTTCCAGCATTACATCATCATCATCATCATCATCATCATTGAGTACAGCAGAGAATTTTAAAAAAGGTTGAGACTTGGTAAAATTTCCAAAAATATTTTATAAAACGTTCAATGTTTCGCCCGACTCCGGGCTTCATCAGGAATTTTTTTTTTTTAATCTTCCTCCTCCTCCTCGTCCTCGTCCTCCTCCTCCTCCTCCTCCTCCTCC